TGGGGGCTGGTGGCCATGGATGCCCAAGCAGGGAGACCTCCCCCCCCTCCCCAACATCTGGGAAGGGCTGACTTCTGCCTGAAGAGTCTTTATGCCAGCCATGCTGTCCAAAAGCTCCGTGGGGTCCTTCCTTCCACCTGCCCCACCAAGCTGCAGCTCCTCCTCCTCAGGGACCGTGAGATAACCCGCCCGCTGTCCTTCCGTCCACAGCCCGGCCAGACCGTCGGCGTCGACATGGAGTGGCGCCCCTCGTTCAGCACCATCGGAGGGAAGCCGCGGGTCTCGGTGGTTCAGCTGGCGATTTGGGGCCGCGTCTTCCTCTTGGACATGTTCCGGCTGCTCCAGGAGGGGGGAGAGGAGGTGCAGGCCTCTCTCTGCGGCTTCTTCCAGAGCCTCCTGGGCAACCCAGCCATCTTGAAACTAGGCAAGCGGTGCCCTGGGTATGGGAGCCCTTGCGGACGGGCCCCTTAGCGTGCGGTCAGCGTTTTTTCAGCCCGAGTTATCCTTCTCCCGCTTTCTAGCTGAAGAGGGTTCGATCAATCAATTAGAATAGAGCTGGAAGGGGCCTTCAAGGTCTTCTAGTCCAACCCCCCCCCCGCCCAAGCAGGGGACCCTAAACCATTTCAGACAGCTGGCTGTCCAGTCTCTTCCTCCAAACCTCCAATAATGGGGCACCCCCTGGGATAATGGTTCTTCCTGTCGGGGGAAATTCCTCCTTAGTTTTAGGTTGCTTCTCGATTAGTTTCCACCCGTGGCTTCTTGTCCTGCCTTCAGGGGCTTTGGGGAATAAGGTAGGCCGGTCCTACCTCGCGGGGTTGTCAGGCAGGCCTTAATAAAACGATGTGTTGAATGCGTGTTCCCAGGCCGGGCTTTCCTTTGGGCTCTGGAGCAGCCAAATTTGGGAGTCAAACCCCGAGGCGGGCTTTGTGTCTTTCTGCAGGTTACGGGATGTCGGGAGACCTGCGTAACCTCATGGCAACCTGTGGCATTTCCAGAGATGCGAACCTGCAGCTCTGTGGAATTCTGGACCTCCAGCTGGTGCACCAAAAGGTGAGGAGGGAAAGTGGACTTTGTGGCCCATGGAGGGAAAGAACCTCCCCCCACCCAGCCACCCACACCCAGCCACCCACCCATACACACACACACACGCGCGCGCACACACACACCAGGGTTGAGCAGATCAGGCCCACCTTGGGGTGCTTCAGGGCAATCCCGGGCTTTTCACAAATGCTGCTTCTTTGGGAAACTCACAAACACACACACACCCCGACACCCACCATTTTTCAGCTTCTCCAAACTTGGAAATGCATTTCCCTAAGACTTGGCCCAAATCCAGGGTTAAGGATGCTGCCCAGACACTACCTCAACTCACCCTCCCTCCCTTCCTTCCTTCCTTCCTTCCTTCGTTCGTTCCTTCCTTCCTTCCTTCCTTCCTCCCTCCGTCCCTGCCTCCCTCCCTCCTTTCTTTTCTTCTCTTCTTCCTTCCCTTTCCTTTCCTTCTTCCTTCCTTTCTTTTCCTTTCCTTTCCTTCCTTCCTTTTTCCTTCCTTCCTTCTTTCCTTCCTTTCCTCCTTTCCTTTCCTTTCTTCCTTCCTTCTTTCCCTCCCTTCCTTCTTTCCTTCTTTCCCTTCCTTCTTTCCCTTCCTTCCTTCCTTCCTTCCTTCCTTCCTCCCTCCCTCCCTCCC